CCTGCTCAGTTCCTGAATGATGTATTGATGTGTAAATTAGAGGCAAATAATTCCTTAGCTTTCCTAGATGCGTTAGTCATCCAAAATTCTAACAACACCATAGGTCACACTGTGTATAGAAAACAATCAATTTCACCATTATCCTTCACAGTTATTTACCGTGAGCAAATCTATGTTACAGAGAGCACAAGGGATCTGTGGCAACAAATATCGAGCCGTCGAGCTTCAGCACGTCAAGCAGGTTCTGCACGGCAACAAACTTCAGGCCCGCGCTTACGTCACAGTGACCGAGTGAAGCCAGCCACAGTCAAGCATGTGCAGTACTAGCATTTGTCAGGGGTGTCACAGACAAGATTGGCTACATCTTGAACCGAGCTGACAGGAAGCATCAAGGTTCAGGGAAGTTTGCAGTTTGTGATCATATCCTAGACGGCCCCAACCAGATAGACGTATAAAAAAGATTTGATAGACCACAAATCCTCTAAAAAGTACATCAATTCCTATCAATGACCGATACCTGAGACTATTGAAATAAAAATAATTTTCAATAGAGAAGGAGGCTTGGTACTACCACCTGCTTAAAATCCTGTAATTAATGAAATTAAAATTAAACCCAAGCATACCATTGCAAGACTTCAAGACACAGTAAGTTCATTCTGTAGATCGGACCATAAATAAAAATTAAAAATCTGAATGTACTCCGGGTTAACACTGACATTGGGACGTCAGTCACCTCAGTCCGCCGTAACCATGGGTGTTGAAAAGCACCCGAAACGCCTGGAATTAAAAATCAAAGAAATAAAACGCGATAAAATCGATAAAAATAGTTGTTAAAAAAACAGCATTTGTGAAAATAAAAACTTATATACTCGTATCTTCAAAACCCCGACTTTTTTTAAAGCAATTCCTTAACCATTTCATTGTTTTAATTGCATATTATCATATCTATATGCTTTTATATGTAGGCACCCATGGCCGAAGTGTATCCCCTTTCGAATGCATATTATTTAAAATATGCTAAATTGCACCCTATTTACAAATAAATATGTACTCGTATTAAAATTTAAACGATTTTTTTAATGATGATCTTGAACGTTAATCAAAAGTCTATAATTTGTAAATTTACTCAGTCTGTCAACACAGCGAATTGGGTTTGGCGACGCCAAACCTCGTATAAAATAAAGTTGACAGCCATTCTATTGTGTATTATAGTATTCTGTGGATTTTTTAATGCCAAACTTCTTTATAGAAAAGTAGTCTCTAAATATAAATTTTATTGATTTAAAGTGCTGTGGATGAGTGCGGTCGCATGCGATTTTATGAGGATTGAAGTATTAAGGAAACACCGGTATTACGCATGACCACATATATCATGCGTCGATTTCACAATTTTAATATAAAATACATAGTAAAACTAACCTCCAGACGACACTGGCTTAATGGACAGGTTATCTGTATGGTCGGTAGTCTTACATGGTATACCGATGGGTCAAAAATGGGCCTCGACATAGACTTTGAAAATTAAGGGGAATGCCCCTAATTCTTTTCTTTTTCCCCTAATTCTAAAGCTTAGTATGAATTTGGGTAGATTCACTTCTATCTTCCGGGCAGAAATTTTCGCGATACTCAGTGTGCGTAAATCAATCTGCAAAAACATTTCTTCAACCATATAATATACATAAACTCTCATAATAAAGCAGCACTACCGGCGCTGAGATCAAACCCTAGCCCTGACTGGACACTGTTGTCTTAAAAAGCACATGTCCATCCTGGGATTAAGCAACTTTAGGATGTGCAGGTTTTGTTCCTTAACCCTAGATTTCTAGATCCCTAGATTCGGCCTGTATGATCCAAGGGTTGGTTTGGCTATGGAAGGTGGTGGATTGTCTCACCGCGAAATATAAGACTCCTCCTAGGAATGTAACAAAAGACGGTTTTGAGCCACTTGCCTCATTGACTTCTTGTATGTTTTACCAATCTTCACTCATCTAGTGAAAGGGTGTCCTATTGCTTATAATATGGAATAATGTTTAACTTAATGTATTTTTTTAACTTATAAGTTTTCAATGCAAATCTTTTAAAATGTTATGAAAAAACGAGAAAAATGACATTCTTACCTAATAGTCTATAATATCAAGTCAATAGGTACAAATAGTCAATAGCGCGTTTGACAATCTCATTTAAATTATAAAATCTTTTCCGTTTTCCAGCGGTCACATTTAAATTCAAGCCTCAACGTTTGAAGGATTGTTGTGAATTTTAAGTATTTGAATGTAAATTCTTTAAATACGTAATTTGTAGACATTGCTGTAATGTCTTCAGCTCAGTGTAAATAAAGAGGAGATTTTTAATTCACCTGTGTTATTATTTCATGTTTTAACGGGAAATCTACACAAATGAGGATATCTACGACACTTAGAAATAAGGAGTGGTATATGTAAAGTAATAAAATAGAATGCTGCTATTCATAGAGCCCAATCAATCAGAATAATAGCCAAAACCACACATATGGATCACACCCTATCCTATAAAAAAAAAAAAAAGGTGAAATGTTTGACAGATTTCATATCGGGAAAGTTAACTTATTAAAAAAGTGTAGAGATTTATATTTCATATGAATTTGATTAAAATGCATTAACCAAACTACGGATATTCCTAAAATTAAATAAAATAAATAAATATAAGAATGTATAAGATATTAAAGAATACAGCACTGAGGCATTATTTTATTATAAACATTCATACATTAGAAACCGAAAAGTTATCAATAAAATCGCAAAATTTCAATGATGATGACACAGGGTAGCAAAAACATTCACCTTAGCCCAAATTAGCGACATCAGTTGAACTTAAGATCATGAGATCTCTTTCAAAGTCTCATACTCATACCTATCTACCTAACAATGGTAGGATTTAATGCTTTGTATGGTGAAAAGTTAGACGGTGCGACGCGTTGGAATTTACAACATATACAATGAGCACTGGTGGATATTCCAAAGCCCAAAAAATCGAAGAACATGCTCATCACGTTTGTTTTAGTGTTTTTGTTTAATAATTTTATTTGGTATCACATATTACAATTTAAAAGCTTAAGAGTGTAAATTTATTCACAAGATTATTAATTTTATAACGCAAAGGAAGGAGTAACACATAGCTGCTATTTGATACTGCGAAATGGTTTCCCCTTCGTTTACATTTTACATCAAAACCTAAGTTAAAACTTTATCTTAAGTTTATTTAATATACTGTAGAAAGGGCCACCGCGCTTCTTGCTAATGGATACATGAGCGCGATGATTTAACCCAATCTTTAGTCCTATGAAATATAAATATTGATGAAATACATTCAAAAGCGGGCACCGCAGCACTGCTATTGGATACAGTGCTGAGATAATTTAACCTCCTCTTAACGTACTTAATTTAGTGGAAATATTTACGCGGTAATTTTACAAATTTTCCAATCAAATATCCTATGTGGCAATTAAACCTAAGATTATTTAATGCTCTATTGGAAAGGGGCATCGTGCTTCTTGCTATTTTATACGTGAGCACGATGATTTAACGCGTTCCACGGAGCTGCAGTTATAAAAAGTTATTTAATAACGCTAAGAAGAAGGCACCACCAACACTGCAAGTGGATACATGGTTGAGGTAAATTAACTTCTTCTTAGCGTATTCAATTTACGATATATTTACACAGTTTATTAAAAAATGTTTTCAAATTAGTTTGACACGTGGCGGTAATAGGTTATAAATAGTACTTACAAAGAAGTAATACAAAGTAAATCACATCGAATCAAATTAGCACGGACGAGTCAAAAAATAAGAAATAATATATAAAAAAAACATACAGAATAAAATAATGAAATGGTAAGGGTTTTTTTAAATTTAATGTATAATCTAAACTTATATAGGAAAAATACAAAATAAGTTAAAATAACAAAGAAAATACGTATAGTGTTTTCAGACCTTAGAAATAGACTTAAAGATCTTTTTAAATTAAAATAAGAAAATTAAATAAAATAATATTAAACCTATATAATACTTATACAAAAGCTTTAATTTATTTTACCGGATCCGTAGTCTACTCTGTTGGCGCTTCTGTCCCTCATGGCAGGAGTCCGAGTTGGCAGGGTGTTTGATATCTGCTTTGGCGTTGAATTTTGTGTTATGTGAGTGGCAGTTGTGGCACTTTGCAGTGTTCAGATTATTTTTCACGGGACAGTCACTGATTTAGTGTTCATTGCTGGCGCAGTGGGAGCAGAAGCTCTCTTGTGAGGTGCATCTTGTCTTCATATGTCCAAACTGTAGGCATTTATGACATCGCAGAAAGGGTAAAAAAATTCCAGGTAGATTCGCTGGTGGTCGATGCATACGCGGCGCATCTCCATCATCTTTCTGTAAATTTTTGGACTTACTAGGAAAACTGCGTTACATAAGTTCTCATTCCTATTGTTACGCTTGAATCTGAGCGATAAATATGTGTCATTGAGATCGTTCGCAATCTCCGCAAGTTCTGTGTTTTGGTGGCGTATGATTTTCACTAGGTCCTCAGCTGGCACGTCTTTAGATATCCCTTTGAGGATAACCATGGGTCTGAGGCTTCGTCAGGCTCGAACTTGACTCATCGGATGTCTCTAGCCGAGAGAGTGTGTCGTCGCGTTGTTGATGATTGTCAAATTCGATACGTAGCTTATAATTGGAGACACGTTGGATGCGGGATGGTGCGTAAGTTGACTCCCTGTAACTTATGCTGGTTTTAAATTTCTTGATCACTTCTTCCGGTGTCTTCGACTATTCAGTTGAGCTGACTATAATAGCTGGTTTGGTCACCGGGGGGATGGAGGGCGGAGAGGTCTTGTTAATCGCAGGTGTCCTGCCACCACAAGTGACAGCAGTTGCTTGGGCGTAAGATGGTCGCGCTTGTGAGGCAGTCACCATCTTTTTGAAGTCTGCCATTTCTTTTTTCACGCATGAAAGCAACTCCTCCTTTATTTCTCCCTATGCAGATGGGGTTGTTGACGCAATAGCGGTGTTTAGGTTGCGGGTGGAACGTCTTATCTCCTCCATGGCCAGATTGATGAGCTTCTTATTGGCCGCGGAAACGCTCTTTCCCTCGCTGATAGCAGTGTTTACGCAGATTGTTAATTTGTTCATTACGAGCATGAACGAGTCCAAGTCCTTGACCTCCTTGGCCGAAGCCGGGAGGGTATGGGGGTCGCTCTGCGACGCTGGCATGTTTACACAATGTCTTATAATCTAAATATTCAATGTTTATACAGTGTTATGGGAGTCATTCTAAAAATAGCTACTCTCACAGAATTGAGTCAGTGAACTATGTTCACAAAATAAAATCACCAAAAATAAAGTTATGATTCAAAGAATTTTAAATTTCACAAAAGTCAGTTTATTAGTTAGTTCACTAGATGCGCTAAAATGGGGGGACATCGCACGTGTTTTTTTGTTTTTCGCCTATAATTTCTGAACCCGTGCACCGAAAAATTCAGAATTTTGGGAGATGAAGCGTTTAAATGTACCGCACCTATAGTACTAATAAAGTTATAGAGTTATAGCGACTAGAAGAGCGCCGCACGCGAAAAACTGATTTGAAGGTTAGCAAATTTTGGCTAAGAAAACACTATTTTGATGAAAAATGAATTTTAAACACTCGTCGGACTAAAACTAATTACACTTTTATGAAGTACACGTTATTTCGCGTCTTTTAAGGTATAACTCGGCACTGAATTCAAACTTTTTACCACAACTTTGATTTTTAGGACGCGGAGCGACTCAGTTTTGCTGCTTATAGCTCGGCGTTCCCCGTTTTAGTGTTAACATTTGAACGGTAATAATGACTATATCATTGTTCCAATATAGATTGGAGATCGTTTAACGGGAGTAACGTATCTGAAAACGATACATTCCGTCATCGACACAATGTTGGAAAACCTGTCCTTTGAGCCATCTGCAAGGAATGTACTTCCATCACGACGGAAGGCCAGCCCATTACAAGCGATCTGTACGCGCATATCCTGACAGCCAATTCGAATATGTCGCGGCTGACCTGTGAAGTACTGACCAGACATAAAACCTCTAGACTATTTATGGGCCGAACTGAAACGATTGGTGTACACAGAAGAAGCACAAGGTACTAGTGAAAGTTTAACAAACTATTTACAAAGATGTGCTAGTTTGTATTTAGAAAGAATCGGTGGACTAGACTAGAATAGAAATTTTGAACAATTTCTGCTAATATCGCTAAGAAAGTATTTTTTTATACAACAATAATGTAGTATAATTTTCTAAATATCAATCAGAAGAGTTTGTATATAGGTTGATTTCTACCTCTTAAATACACCTAAGTTGTTGCCGTATACGATAGGCATAAAAATTATTATTAAAAACTGTTTATGAATGTACTACAATAGAAGATAAAATTTAACATGTAATTAGCTCGTAAAATTATGTACGTAAGATCAAAATCACAAAAATAATAATCTGAAACGAGAGATTTTTGGTTCAGGCGGAAGGAAGTGGCTTCGGCCGCATTCGGGTCGGCACAAAGGTATGATGCAGCAGATAAGAAATAAGACGTATTAATAAAAGCCTAGTCGTAATGCACATAATGTAATGTGAAAATGCTGAATTTTATGAGTCATGCATTACAAAACGAACAAATGCAGCGGGTTATCTTTAATACCGCAACATTCAATAGCACTTTTGCATTATGGCTATAAATGTTGTCGTAAAGAACGTAGACCTAACTAGTCTTGGAGACTTTAATGCACATCCAAAGGAAATATTTTATTATGAATTAATTAATTTCTGTATTGATCACTTACGGTATTGCGTGGAAATTAATATGTTAGGGTTTCAGTCCAACACCTATACGTTTCGTAGTGATGCACATGGGTGTGAGATATGGTTATACTACAGTATAGTCACTCAATCTGCACGGGTAACAATTAATAAAGTGTGGGTGAAATATATACGTCATGTTTCACCCACACTTTTCATTGGTCAGATCACTTTCCGCTCATAACTGTTATAAATGCAATGATTAACTATTATGGAGAGCCTATGGTGCTTTAATTCAAATTAACTATATATTTTGTAAATAATTTAACACGATGTATAATAATATATTTTGGTTTATTTACATCGAAAAGAAAATAAAAAGGAGAAAATCCCTGTGACCAGCATCGAGACATTTACTGTCGTATTTGGCCGTTTTTTTAATATTATTATTTTAAAGATAATAGGTATTCTATTACCTTAACTGGCAGGCGACATTTATCTTCGTCACGCATCCTAGCTCTACATCCAAAATTTTTTACAGCTATTGTATTTAAAAAATCATTAAAATGTTATTAATCCTCAAAGTTGATCCATATTTTTGTATAGCCGCATTCGGATAAAAGTAATGGATTATATAAATTGAACTGGAATCGAAAAACGATCACCGATGTCATAACAGTTCACGGTTTATTTAACAAGCAACCCTTTGCATTAGGTGTTACTGACAGCCCCTTGACAAGTGCCTGCATGGGGCACTTAGCGGCTCAGCGGCCTACGTTTTACTTGATTGTTTAGCGGTAGCTTGCTACAGAGCTAAGTGCCTCGGTCGCGGAGGTCTTTTCTCGTGATCATTGGTAACGTAAAAAAATTACTTAGATTAATTGAGAAGGTAGGGTTGCTTGAATAATATTTAGTTCCTATCCACACGCAAAATATGCGCTTAGACGTGGTGTTGCGGACACCAGCCCAGATCAATCAATCAAATAAAAGTAAAATTGTACTTAAAGTTGCACCTAAATGTGTCTAGAAGCTTCTACATTTTATGTTTCTAGACAAATAGGCCTTCTACTCAGCTCCAATATTAAACAGCATTTACTTATTCTAATGTTTCGACCTACAAATGCGTTCTCAGCTTTTGGATGATGTAGGTTCAGACAGACAACATTCTAAAAGAATATTGTTTTGGCATCTGTATCAAAAATTATTAATAATAATAATAATCTTTTATTGACAGACAAATAAAGCCCGTAAAAAAGAAACATAAGTACTTATAAGCAACAATAATAAAAAAATTAAAATAATACTGAAATACGAAAATAAATGTAAATTAAATAAATGCCATCAAATAAATTATAACTTACATCTTAACATACTAGACCAATATTTAAATATTTCACTACAATTTTGCGTTAAAATGTGTATAATCGCGTTTCCACATTTGAGAAGAATACTTCTAAATCTGTCGGTAGGCGTGCCTCAGCAAACATTTTAGATGTACCTCAGAAAACGAAATAATATTCGGAGTACTGAACCTTAAAAATTCGATAGTTTTTCTTTTTAAATTTAGTCCAGAGATGCGGCGTGTAAAGCGATTGGCAATAGGTTTTAAATAATAATATTTTAGCATCTCGCTCGTATTTATTAAATTTCCTGACAATCATATTAGCACGTACAGCTAGGGACCGCCTATCTCTGTCCATGTCCTGATCAACCTTCAGGTCACTCGATACGATATGTACTAAATATAGAAAGCTCGTCTCAAACTCCAATATTTTGCCGTTCATGTATAACGGTAAACAAACATCTTTACTATGCGCTCCAAAGACCATTGCCTAAAACCATATCGTCTGTGTAACTAAGGTTGTTTACACATTTCCCACCTACATGACAGCCGATACCTGTTTCGCTGAGCTCCTCAATTAGAGCGTTAACGTAAATTTTAAACAGCAGAGGAGAATTCAACCCACCCTGACTAACCCCATTATTCAGTATAAACTCGTCCGAAAGTGAGCCGTCCCAGTTCACTACATTAACCTGCGTATTATATTATACCAATTAAGAAGGATTCTAATTATGTCGGGAGAAACACCCACCAATTTTAACTTATCCCACAGGATGTTATAGTTTACCCTATGCGCATAAAGGCGCAACTCAAGTCCAAAAAACAAGCGTTTACTTTAATTAAGTAAAATTCAAATAAATCTTCCAAAAATCGTCAAGCAATCGCCTCATACAAATTTTCTAAAAGTAAAGATGTTGCTTAACAAATTACTCCGTAAAATACGTTACATTGTAACCATTCATTGCGTAGATTTCCGTCGGTCTCGGTTTTACACAAAAGATGGATGAACATTAAAGCCAAGCCAAAGCAAACTCTATGCTTTTTAGATCTAGTTTAAGTTAGTGAAACTTAAATTCTGCGAAATTTTTAAAGAAAATTACTACTGAAATTAATTTCAAATTTAATTATAAACTGTATTTTAAAATAAAGAGTATATTTAATGAACTTTGATTACCAAAGTTAATTTCTTAACTCACAAAATATTTCTAAGCGTATTTAAGTAATATGAAAATTAAATTTATTTAAAATTAATTTAAATAAAAATAATAAATAAATATACTTATGTGGCCGTGGAAGGAAAAGGGGAGATCTCCCGCCGGGCAAGGTGTTCTGCCCGGGGAGCGGCCAACACTCAGTGTGATAGTTCGGATATGTTCGATATATGCTATTTGTGATTCGGAATTTTGATAGCGTGATTTAGGCTTCGGTGTATTTCGCTTGTGGCGCGACGACAGCGCCGCCACATCACCCCTCTGCTCAGACCAGAGGTCGATAGTGCAGTCGAGTTGTTGACGAATGTGTACTGCCAGGAAATTGCCTTGTAGTCTGCGGTGAGTCGAGAAGAAGGCAAGTAGATCTGCGAGAGTGCCGTGAAGCAGAGGCGAGCAGTAAGGCTCAGAGGCGTGCCGAAAACTGTATGGCGCAGAGAGTAGCTTGAAGGAACAGGAAGCATTATTATTCCAGTGCTGCGATGAACCTTGTGAAGCTAGATGGCTTGCAGGATATGAAGACTGCAGACGATATCCCATGCCGACACTCCGTGTGATAGTTCGGAGATGTTCTATATATGCTGTTTATGATTCGGAATTTTGATAGCGTGATTTAGGCTTCGGTGTATTTCGCTTGTGGCGCGACGATAGCGCCGCCACACTTAAATTATTGATTTATAAAAAATTAAATTGTTTACGAATTAAAAAGCATTTTTTAAGAAAGTATTGTCAATTGCTAAATTGAGAGTCATATATTTAGTGTCACTTAAATTTCTGTTATACACAAATATTTTAATGATGCTTGCCCTGTATTGCACGTATTGTTTAGCGGTAGCTTGCTACAGAGCTAAGTGCCTCGGTCGCTCGGTCGTTTCTCGTGATTATTGGTA